AGAGTCTTCCTATACACTGCTACATACTCATTATTGACAAGATCTGCTTTAAAACTTTTTGTTAATTAATGGTACTTTTCGAGATATAAGGGAACACGTGCAACTAGAAAATCCTTAATGTATGGACGATGGACGATTTCAAGTGTAAAAGGACAAAAATGTGACTAGAGTCTTCCTATACACTGCTGCATACGCATTATGGACAAGATCTGCTTTAAAACTTTTTGTTAATTAATGGTACTTCTATAAGGGAACCTTATTGCAGTTATAGGAAAATCCTTAATATAGTCAAAAACTATATCCACAAGCCGTTATTACTTAATACGCATATGTACTTCATATATTACGGAATAAATTTTTGTATCTGTTCTTCTCGTAACAAAAAAACGTATTTCTATTTCTAATCGCAATGTTTGTATATATTTTTGTTTTGGTTCTAGTATTTTAAGTTTTCTTCTTACTATTGAAATAAAATAAAAACAAAAATTAAGTAAAAAAAAAATAATTAATTAAAAATACAGAATAATAATCAAAATTCCGCTCTGTTAGAATCCAAGCGAGTATCTGAGTATCTTGAATAATGCATGACTCAATTTTAATTCGATCACAATTCCGAATTAATGTTGAACTTGACATTGAAGCGCTCTAAAACGGGGCGAAAATTTAATATTTTTAATTTTTGTTTTCAATTAAGTACTTCACAATTATTTATTAATTTTGTTGCTCCGACGAAATTGGGTGGCTGCGTCAAGCGACTGTAATTAAGTCTGATTTTTTTAGATTCTTGTATGGACGATGGTGAGTCGCAGAGAAAAAAACCAATGAACAAATAAATTTTATAAAAATCATGCGGTTTCTTGATAAGGGAAGATAATTGCATTGCATGTGACTTCAATTCCGCCTCATTATTGCGTATACTGAAAAAAAATTGAAGATATCAAAGAATGTGACTTGCTCGTGTAGTGAGTGGTGTGAATATGAATTATATAACAACTGTTTAATTAATAAAGTTTCGGCGTGAGTTACGCATGCGGTACTTCATGTTTATGGCCACTTCATTCTGACCTAAAAACAATATTTCATGTGCGAAAAATAAGAAGCTGACATCATTTAAAAAATATACATATATACTACAAATAGTTTTACAATATTTCATTTTATTTAGGTAATCGTATATAAAAGTTTAGAAAACATATAAAATATAGGCAAATTAAATAAAGCTTAAAATTAACAATATTTGTTATAATTTCCTTTATATTTAAAGCTTTTCACTGTATCTTAAGGCATAATTTTAAACTAACACACAACAAACTTGTCCATTCTGGCAATCCGTCCCGGGCCGCATTAGAGTCTTATGGCATCTGTCCATGCACTCTCCCAAATGTTGCGTACAAGGAGCTGGTCTTAGTGGCACTTCGCAATTTGCATTCGATTTGAATAGATTCGATCGTAATGATACGGAAATAAAAAGATATACCAATTGAGCTTATTGTTTATTTAAAGGACATAAATTAATTTAAAATATAATGTGGATTTGTGCAAGCAGTTTTAAAAATTATATGCCAAAATTTTTTACTGTCAAAATTTTTGTGAAAATTATTTTTATTTTTAATTATTTAAGTTTCGAAATATTTCAACTTACATTCATAGCAACATTCCACACCGCGATGAGAATTCGTTGGGCACAATCCTCTAGTGGTAGTTGGTTCGTTGCAGTCGCTGCTATGTACGCAAAGTCCACCAACTAATACACATTGGCGATCTCCTTGATACACCTTAACACCCTGAAGCACTAGAATTAAAATAAATTTGTTAACAATACTGTGAAGTTCAAAATCTACATTTACTTATGTACAAATATTTATAATAAAAGCAGAATAGCTTATAAATACTATACTTATACTAATTGTTTGATATAATAATTAAAAAATAATAATTTAGTAACATATACTATATAGCTTGTATACTGTAACGACTCCAATTCCTCACCCATAAAACAAATCAATTTTTTTTTTACTTTTATTTTTATATTTCCATGTAGTTATCTTTATAAGTTTCCGGATGAGGTACAAGTAATATGCCATCAAATAAAGTGTAGTCTGTAGGGTTAAGTACAAGCCTTTTTAGATTTGGCGTTTCTCCGATGACTAGCTTTCACCATGCCTGGGTATTGTCATTAGGCAATACACCGTGGGCATGGATCGATAACCATATAGGTTGTTATGAAGCCATTACAGTGACAAAACTCCAGTTAACTGATAATTGGAGGTTTGGACACACAAACAGACAAATTCAAATTGTTTATTAAGCTATTTCAAAATCGATTTAGGACTATATAGACATGTTATATCGAATAAACAAATACGACTCAGCTACGTAAGTTTAAATCTACAATATATGTAACTCCTTAAAGGGGACACAATAGATTTCATTTACATACTAAAATTTTTCAAAAAACTAACTCAATTTCGTGTATTATTCAAAATGTAGGTCTATATATATATCCTGGCGGCTATACCTATATGTTTTCTTTCTGTTTAGGATTATACATACATTGCTTATGTGATCTTTAAATTGGCTTTGAAGACGTTGCAAAAAAGGGGGAAAAATATATTTCTTTTTAATTATTTTATTCTAAGAAATAATAATAATAATATAAGAAATAATAATAATAATATAAGAAATAATAATAATAATAAAAGAATAGAAGTTATTTCCTTAAAGAAACTATTAAGAAAATATAAAATAAAAATCCAAACGCATAGTTTATATTTTAGCAAAAAAAAAACAGTTTTTATTATGAAACCCTGTATCTGAACCATGATTTAGTATGACATTATATTCATATCTAAATCGAGTTACAAATATTTAAAACAAAACGTAAAAATAAATTGTAAAATATCAGTTTCTAATTATATGAAAATTTCTATATTTACACATATTATTATTCTAGAAGCTAGATAGAATTTTACTTAATGATTCGAGTAAATATTTGACAAAAGATAATGTCAGAATAAATTAAAAAATATAGTAATTTATACATTTATATATTCTTATTTAACAGTTAGGAGTAATTTTTTTTTAATGATGTGCAATGCAAGTTATAAATTTCAAAAAATTTTAAAAAAAAAATATATTAAAATATATATTCAAGTGATATTGTATTTTAAATGAGTGATATCACACAACCAGATATTTAGAATAATAATTTAAGTTAGATATATTTATAACCAACGAAAAAACTAAGATATATGATGGCTAATCTATTTATTTATATGTTGCAACTATATGTGAAGACTATGATAAAATAATACAAAATAATATATTAAAAAAAGTTTAAAAAATTAAATTAAATAATATTATACAATACAATAAAATAATATAAAGGAATCAGGTCAATTGATATGATGCATCCCAAAAAACCGCTCGATATAAATGTCAACCTTCACCTACGCCTCACAAACTGAGCGTCTGGCAATCGAATGCCCAGTTGAATATCTATAGTTAAAATCTACAGGGGAAAATATTAAATTGTTCTCCAACTTTTTTGTGGAGCGCCATTAATTTGTTAGTAGCATAACTAAAACTTCGAAACAATTTCAATATATAATTGCTCAGAAGAACATATCTAATATTTAAATTTATATGTTGTTTTTAAGCATGGAAAAATTGAATATTCTAAAGTATTTCAATTCTTTATAAAAAAAGTTTAAATGGTTTTCTTTCCGAAACCGTAAAGGCATAAGTTAAATATGCTCCTTCAAAAACAATGGTTTGTAAATGAGCTGCTTTGTTTAAAAGTGATCGTAAAAGGTTTGAGAAACATCGAAGAGTAATATAAGAAGAGCGTCAACATAAGAAATCGTTATAGAAAGCAAGTTTTGAAAGATCATCGATTGAATGGTGAGATTTAATAGAAGTTTTAGTCAGAAGTCCAAGCATTGATCAATATTAATTGTTAAATTTTGGATTTTAAAAGGTTTTGTGCACAATTAAGAGAATCACACTTTGACAACAACATCTAAAATTCTTTAAATAGAATAAGAACGATTTTATGACAAAAAAGAATTTAATGTTATATTTTTTGGAATGCAAAAGAAATTTTTTTGCTTGGTAACTTAAACCGGTAACAAAATAATTTCATATTATTGTTGCATCCCTTAATTGGTATATAATTGGTATCCAGTTTCCCAGTTTCCATAAACCCAGTTTCCATCAAAACAATGCACCTGCTTACACAAATCTTTAAAAACTATCGCTTAAATCAGTAAATTACTGGGCGTCTATACTGGCTAGACTAACAAAATATTTATGTTCGAATACTGATACGTTTTATTTTCGAATTTTCGTCTGCGAAAAATAATATATATATATGTGTTAGTGTAAAAGTGAAAATGTATGCAAAATCTTGCAAAAGTCTAGCCGGAGAAGACACTGGATTAAGATACAAATTGTTACAACAACCTCTTTTCCCTCTGTCTGCCGTGTCTTCTTCCACATTAAAAAAAAATTATTCTGATTCATGAAAAATGGTTAAAACATATGGTATGAATTATAAAATATATTTAAATCACAATGGAATAATATTCAATTGCATTGAAAAAAGGTTTTGTGAAAATAATTTATATAAAAAATAAATAATATTATACGCAAAGAAATTATATAATATAATATATATAACAATAATTATTTAACACATACTAAACACAAAATAAAAACAAAAAAATAATTAGAAAAGTAACCAATATGTGCATTTCATACTATTAATAAATAACTTCAACACCTGCATAACCCTAAAAAAGTTTATATGGAAGTTACTTACACTTAACAGATTTTGAGTACAATAAGCCATATATCTAGAAGGCATTAGGCCTAGTTTGTATGCAGAGCCCGTGGTAGCAAGGGGCCAACGACCGTTGCAAGGTAAATGAATTTTTATAGAGAAAAATGCAGAATGGTTTTTACGAATATATAATCATTATAATAACACAACGAACCTAAGTTTTATATTATTTAAATAAGAATAAATAATTTTAAATTGAAGAAAAGAAATAAGCTATTTGAAAAATTTAAATACTAAAAATTAAATGAATCAAAACTTGATATCATTTTGTAGGTCTATCTCAATTCGGTTTCAATAGATCTTATTTGCTTGCGTTGCCATACGTGATTTGCTTTAAACTGGGTCAAAATCGGTAAACAAATGCAATAATAATTCTGCCACTACTTCATAAATAATAAAAGATAATAAATATGTTTTTGTTAATAGTTCAATGAATTTTTGAATAATAAAAGACACAGATTGCTCAAAAAATAATCGATCTTTTTATTGCTACTTAACGAAATAATAAACAAAATAAAATAAATTTATTTATGTTTAATTTTTAATTAATGTTTCGTAATTTTAACCTTATTCGATTAAATGAAATTGCTAAAAAATGAAATAGTAATAATAATAAACAATCTCGAATGAATAAGGTATGTAATTAAATATACTCGTTATATTATGTATACATATAAATTTTTTTAATTATACTATAACATATACTTAATATCTCAAGTCCTATTTAGTTGTTCTCAAGTCAATTTACACAATGTATTTCCCAACTATTATCCGAAATCAAAACTAGTGCGGGAATGTTTTTCAAACTTAAAATTAATAAGTGGCTGGAAAGAGCACTTCAGACTGATTGGGATAATACAATTGCCTGCAGACAAGCTAAAGAATCCGTGCCGTATCGATCAAAAGCCAGATGTAGGGAGCTACATGCTGAACAGAAATGGCATTCGACTTGTCACAGGGTTTCTCACTGGGCATTGCGGAGTTAAAAAGCGATAACTCCGATAGCTTCAGACTTTGTTGCGAAGAAGAGAAAACTGCAGAACACATTTTATGTCACTGTGATAGTCTGGTCAGACTCAGACTTCGGTACTTATCCCACTTATCCGCTTATAACACTTATATCCACTTAGGCAACATCTCTCCAAAGGACATAATGGCGTTCTTTATTGCTTCTCGTCTATGGAACTAAAGTGGGTATGTCACAATAATCTTCAAAGGATGCAGTGACATGGTGACAAATTCCCAACCCGTTTTTTAAATCTGACCTAATCTAATTATCCGACATTAACATACTAACAGAATTGAACCTTTCTTAACTGTGTGCCACTTTATATTCAGAGAGGTGTAGTGCTTTCCCTACTCCTAATATAAAGCTAATTAGAGCAAAGCACTATGAAGGAACTTGAGCTTTTAATAAAGACTCACCATCGTATAACGGAAACGGACTTAAAACTCAATAATAGAATATAGAAAATGTTATTAGTTTTGCAACTTGGGGAATTTTACACCTATGATTCTACGATGTTAATTATTTTAAATCTAACACTATCGCTTTATTATAAATGAATGTATTTATGAATCAGATTGTATTATAATTTCAATATTCAGAATAAGTGCTTTTTTTGCAAAACAACAAAAACTTTCTTATCAAATAAATCAAAAACAAATATATAACAAATATATTAAACATACGATTAATCAGTTGTGATTCCCATGCATTTCAAAACACTGTAATTCCTAATAATTTAGGTATGTAAAATTGTAATATTTTTGTACTTAATAATATTATATATATTTTTTTTTTCGTTTTTGATTTTAAATTGTAATCATTTTACGAAAAATAATGCTTAAATGATCAATTAATCAATAAATTATACTTTATTCTGAATAATAAATCAAAAAAATGTTTTAACTATAGAGCTAGTAACGATCTGGACTATCGGGTTGGGTTAACGTGCTTAACGCTGTAAGGTGCGAACAGGAAAATATACGTATATATATTCGAAATGCATTTTGTTGCGTTTACCATGCGCCGATACCCATTTACCGAACTGGTAATACGTTATCGTGAGTACCCCTAATGTTTAAACTAAAAACTTATAAAAAAGAATTATAAAAATAAGTTGCGATATAAAGAAAATTAATGTTTACAAAGAATTGTATTCTATTAACGTTTTAAAAGAATCTTAGAAATCATTACTTAACTTCAATAACCCTTAATTTGTGCATAATATAATAAATTGAACTGCATGGTCTGTTTAAAATATTATCTAAACGCAATCCATTTAAAAAAAACTGTTCTCACGATGCCATTAAACAATTTCCTGTAAAATTTGCATAACTACACGATTATGAGCACATGTTTTTACCATAGCAATTAGTTTTTATATCTGAACTTTCTATATATGGTACTTCTATATGAACATAACAACCAATGAATAATAAAAATAAATTAAATCTGATATAATTAATTATTTACAATTAACTACTACGCAGCGGCGATCTGGTTTTATTCTAAAACCATTTTAGTTATGGTAAAAGTCTTTATATTTCAATATTTAGTGTCTTTACAATGGAAGGCACTACTCTTGAAAATTCCCTGCATTCACTAAAACCGTAAAGTCCCTCTTTCATTGTAGATAGTAGAATGTTTTCGTGATTATCATGAAGTGTACATACATTATAATTCAGATTGCGCAATTTTGTTTCATTAGACTATATTTTTTTTCTATATTCTATAAATTGTTGTAAATAAATTTCAAGAAATAGAAAATCTCAAGAGCAATAGATCAAAAGGGCAAGCTGATAACGACATTTTTGTTTTCATTTAAATTAGAAATAGAAATATTTAAATACATTATAAAATTAAACTTTAATTATTTTACTTACTGTGATATTCGGGTACATCATCGACTTCGTTGTCTTCGACGTGGGCGCAAATGCCATTTATCGCCACAATTACAAACACAAATATATATAAAAAATTTTTCATTGACATTTTCATTTCTTTTTTTTTTTCTGTGTAATTTAAATTATTAATAAATTTATTATTAAATTTTGCAAATTAGTTAAAAATTATTTAAAAATTAAATGCACAATCTCTAGCAATGTGAGCAGTGAAAAAGTTCATACACAATCTTAAAATTTCTTCTTAATAGTTTTCTCATTCAATGGTGCAATAATATTTTTTATTTAATTTTATTTTATTTAATATTTTTTAATTCTGCTTAGTTAATTCCTCTTTTCATCAATAATTTTTATCACTTGTTTACACTGTTACGGTTCGTTCACAACTGAATGTTTCTCAACGCTCGTGATTTTGTTTAAATAAAATATTTTTAAAAATAAAGCAAATATTTCCAAACATCCAAGCGATCTTATAAAAACTGTCCAGATGTCAGTCTGGCGGTAGGTCTATCGGTCTCTTTGTCTCTTGGCCTGTTTGTCTGCTTGTCTGCTTGCCCATACGGTTTTTGCGCTTCTGTGTACATTTCGCACAATTGTAAAACCCTCAGCAACATTTTAATGAATGACTTGATAAATGAGCGAACTGAGTGCCAAGAGTGCCAGCCAGCATGAACTCATGTCCACAAACCAACAGTTGGTTGTGCACGTTCTCTGCGATCAGCAGCGGACCAACGTAGTATTTCCTGGATTTGGGGAAATCTAAATTGAAAGAATGATATCGTATCAAACAAATCAATATAATATGCATCTTACAAGAAACACACTTCGTAGGAATTAAATTAAAGACGCTTTTTAAGAATCTCACACATCGTATTCGTTAGTCACAATGTCACACGTAGACAATGATCGTTTAGGCGTCCACTTACCCCCATAAAAATTAGCTGATTTTTCTGATTTTACAAAGCGATAATATATTCATTAATCTTTTCGTATATAAATATATTTTGCAATATATGGTATATTACACATATTAATAAATACTGTTTTCTGAGAGTGAACACGCTTTTTGTGTAATAAATAATAAAAAGTAAAAGTCGCAGTAAAAATAAAAATTAATATTTGTTCGAAACAAGCACCATTTATTAAAGTCGGAGTAAGAATTTTTTACTTATTTTTTAGACATTCTACAATTCTGATAAGTAATTGTATACATCTCTCTAGAAACATTATTTTAACTTAACTTCAATCCATTGAACAATACACTTCGGTTCGCATTTCTTCATAGAGCATGGTTAAAAAATACTAATACTATAAATACTTAAGAATCGAAACAGCTTTGGTTCTTCAAGCACCCACTGCTAAATTTTCTTGAAATAAGCATTTAATCAAAAAAAAAAAATATGAACCAACGCTATTCCTGTGGTACCACAACGGGTAATTGTTTGAGCTCAAGTGGGCTTTTTTGATACACAAAGCCATAAGATACCACTCCAACATAACCTAGTTTCAACGAAAAATATGAGCTTAACTGATGTATTAAGAACTAGAGAATATATTGGATTTTAAAGTAGATTGAAAATGGAGCGTCGCACCAAATCTTTTGTTTTTAGAGCCCCCAAATTTATTGCATTTATACAATCGTAATTAAAAGTTAAGCAAGGACAAAAAACAATATATGAAAATGAAGCCCTATTTTTGTTTTTTTTTTATAATTTTTATTAATTTTTTCTTCACTTGAGACCTTGACACCCACCACTAATTAGGTGATAATGGCATCAAAATAAAAATCAATAACTTCTTTTCTAATAACTTCTGATATGTAAAAGTAGTTTTATAAAGATAAAATAATTATCAATTTAATTTATTGATCTTTTATATAGTCGATGTCAGTATTTCTCAATGAAAAATATACTTCAGACAGGACAGATATTAAATTGTTTTACAAGTTCCAAAAAAATATTCAATATAATTTAGAAGATATTTAATATCTTCTAAAAACTAATGATAACATTAAAACAAAAAATATAATATTTTATGGCGAAGTTGGGAAACAGTAGCTTTATTCTATTTACATCTTCACAAGTATATATTTTGTTATAATCGTCTTGAACTGCAAACCCAATACTGCATCTGCTTTCTATCACTCTCGGCTTTTAACTAGTGATATCCGGTGAATACTCGCGCCGCTAGTCAACAATAGTTCAGACTGAAAAACCAATACATGAAATAAATAAATAATTAAAATTTAAAAAAATAATCACAGGCAAAAAACTTATAGAAATAGGATCGTCTCTTACTATCTGATAGGATCATTTTATTACCTGATGAAAAATGCAAGCCAGTATAAATTAGATAGAAAATAGAAAATATTGTGATGTAAATACAAAACAATAAGAATACAGTAAATTCTAAGCATAACACTCTTAAATATTTATACTATTTAATATATATATTATAAAAATTATAATTAATTTTTTAGAATTTAAAATAGTTGTAATTTAAACTGATAAAAACATTAATTATAGCTAAATCACTACTGAAACTGCACAGCTTGAAAATTAATAAAAAATAATTCAAAAACTCATAATATATTTCAGCATTATGAACTGAAAATGCTCTATTGTTAAACTGAACTATCAGTTATCCTACTAGTACGAATATTTATACAAATCTATAACAAAGCAAAAAATTATCGCCTCTTTCACTCAGGCCCAATCTCTCCATACTCTACGCCCATGCTTTCTGGCTTAGATAAACCTACTCCGCAAGGTATTAAACTTATCTGCTCACATCTCTCTGCCTTAATTAGTGGAATGAAGTTCTCCCATTGCTGTGGAAATCATTTCCATTCTTTCCTAAAAGGTGATTTTAGTGGGTTTAAGTCTCACAATGGCAGGAAATGATTATATCACAATTGAAAAAGATGACTACTCTCCTCTCAAAGATGTCCTAGAAGCCTTCATATGCTACCTGCAGGGTAGCATCCCAACAAGCAATTTTGATGTGCGAAATTGTTACACAAAATTTCAGTCATTCATTTGAAACAGTAATGTTCCTTACACTAGAGTAATCAGTAGCCATCTTTTTATAGCCTAATAGTAAAGAAAAAGCACGACTGGCTTAAAATTGAAATATATTTAATTATGTCAATAATATAATTGTAATTCCAAATAATTTTTTGGATTCATATTAAATTTGATTGTGTATTATAGTGGGCACCATATGATATAAAAATACTTGCCGATGTTTTTATATTTATATTAATTATAGTTTAAAAAACTTCATTATGAAGAAAAATCATTCCATGCAGTTAGTGCTCAACTTAGCTTAAAGATATTCATTAAAATAAGCAACTTTGCTCAAAGATACATGCTAAAATACACAATAGCCAAAGTGCTAACTAAAACCATTTAAAAGTAAAAAACCCCCTACTAAATGGAGGAAAAATATTCTTAACATCACTTACTAAAGTAATTAAATTATAATTAAAAAATGTTAGATTGCATATAAACTTCTTCACTCCACACGCATAAGCAATCAATGCTTAACGTATCTAGAATATACAATCGTATATTAAATAGAGTAGTACGTAGTGCGTACCCTAAACTCGAAAAAATAGAGTAAAAAGATACTAGTTAATAGCACAGTAAACAAAATAAGAACAAAAGAATAATTTTAGAAAATGAAGAAATTTAAGTGTTACTTAAAAGCACTGAAAACCAAAGAAAAATTTAATATAATTATCATTCTATTTCAAAACATGGTAAAGTTAGTAAGCCAAATAACATAGTTAATCAATTTCATCTAGTTGTCAAATTTATATGACTAAATTCACAATAATCTCCATAATTTGTTTCCTACGATCAATGAAGATACTAGCTTGAATAATAATAGAGAAAGAAGTATTTTGACAAATCAATTCAAATTATCTTGCTTTTCTATAATATGTGTAGTAGTTTCTCAATGTTCTACAAACATCTTGACTAAGTTAACATAGGTTAAATATTCAAAACGGTGCAAAATTATAAAAATCCATATAGCATATACAATAGAAAACTTAAATTTATGATAAAGTCTTATCCATTTTGGAATCCCAAAACTTAAACGTATAAAAATACGATTATAGTAAAGATTTCGATTAAATTTTATGACTCTATTAATATGTATAAAATACGACATTGCTCAACTGTTCACATATCGACATATCCACCAAACACAAAATGTGCCTCATCACTGAGGAAAATTCGTTGCAAAAAATCGTCACCATTTTTTAATGCAGTTTTCACAACTTAGAACACGTATGACAGTTAACAGTGTATGACGGTTTAAAAAATGTCACTGACAATGATAATATTAATCTGTATATTGGGTTGTAATATTAAATCATCTGTAATCTCAAAATACCTACCACCTGCATGGGTTTATGTACGGGGATAATGAAAAACCTGTCTGAAAACAGACATAATGAAAACAACTGTTTGAGTAAAAAAGGCCACTTTTCAAACAAATTTAATTTTGAAACAAAAATATTGTTCGAAAGAATTGTTCAAGAAAAAATAAAATCGCAGAAAATAACCCATTTACACAAAACAAGGTTTTAACAATAACTTTGTCAAAAACAATGCAGGAAATGATATTTTTTTGTTTTAGCACTCTGAGATAATAGGTCCGTTCCACGAACTATAGTAGAAACTGAGAGCGTAACACATATAAAGTAAATAAATTACGCTCTTTACACAGATTTTCATGGAACAGCTTTGTGTAAAGTTTGGTGCGAACACCAATGCCGCACAAATAAACAATACATAAATTTAAATTCAAACCGAAACAGCTGATTCACACATTACACAAATTTTACTTCAAAAAAAATCTACGAGTAAAGTCTACGTAGCATTTTTAAAGTACGACAGGGATGTTGCGCTCTCATTTACTCGAAAATTTGCTGGTGGAAGGCACTTGTGTATATACAGTTGCTACAAGTAGTTCGCAGAACTAATATATTCAGTTATTAATAATTCGTAATTAATAAAAGTATACAAAAGTACAAGACATTAAAAAATAATAGGGGTATTCAAGCAACTGATTAGTTGCTTAGTAGTTGATTACAACAAAAATTTGCACACAAAAATGA